TTTGTACATCATTCTAGAGAGAAATAAATGGCCTTTTTAGAAAGTGAACCATCGATAAGGAAATGTTGGCAGTTTTCTCAAAAAAGGCTTGAATTTAGGAAAATTGAAAATTGCTCATCCCCAACCAGTGAAAAAGCTGTCGAATCAGCAATCATTGGCACCAGCTGTAGAGCGCCGGTTGCCTCAAACAATGGCTGTAAAGTTGAGTTAATTAAATCGGATTTTTAGGCCTTGATAATGGTGCCTGGGTTTGCCTTTACCTGCTGCGCACAAATTGTTTTTACTCCGTACACCATTCGATTAATTGCTTTTACCGTTTACCGGGGGGCCGATACTCATCGCAAATACTCAAAAATGCGAAATATCCGAAGATTTAATTGGCTCAACCGGTTTATGGGCCAGAACTGAGCACCGGCTTTGCTTTACATAGACAATCGGCAAGATGTGGGTAGATACGGAAAAAGCGCTGAAATTCTAAATGTACAGGGTGCATTCGTGCAAATCACGCAAAGTTTCATTTTGATTCTTACTGAGGAAATAAGCAAGCTTGAGGAGGATTTTATCGTAGAAATTCTCGCATCAACGCAACATGTTTGAATGCGAACCAGAAAAAACTAGGTTGGTTGCATTTTTTTGAAAATTCAGCTAAACGAGCCCAACATTTTATCAGGAAATCAGAAAATCAATGAAAACCGACCTCAGGGCGAATTTCGCGCAGATTTTCCCTACAGACGCGAAAAACTACAAGTCAAAGCAAAAAGTGCAGCGATTCCAGAAAAATCAACTTCCTACCTTCTAGTTTGGCATCCAAAATCCAAAAAGTTATTGGGTTTTTCGCGATTTTCGCTTAAAAAATATGGAACAAATTTTCTGCGATTTTTCTGAAATCTTCAGCTAAACCAGCTTCAAGGCAAACTTCTCCAATTGGATCATTTGTGATGGGAAAAACCAGTGAAAATTGAGCTTAAAGGTCGGATGTTTTTTGGAAAAAACAGCTTTTTGTATGTAGAAATTGTCAGCAAAACTGTTTAATATCGGGCCGACTTCTTGAAATTTGTGTAAAAACGGACGATTTTCTCTAAAAACTCCATCTCGGAAAATTGCAATCGGTTAAAGTCGAAAAGACGATTTCCGTAAAAGAAAATTTGTATTTCCAACAGTTTGGAAGAAAATGGGCTCTCAATATTGGCAAGCGTAAAACTCTCAAACTTGCACACACTTGCTCTCTTTACCCTGTAACTCGGTCAGTTATCAACATTTTTCGGAAATTCAAAAACTGGTTAAAAGCCCATCGACTTGGCATAAAAAGCTGTTTCAGGGCCAAAGTTCATTTTGGTGATGGTTTCAGCGCCAGGAGAGTTTAGATGCTCAAAGACCAGAAGCGCTGGTTGTTCCTGGAAACACGCTCTTTTGCTACACGTTTGGCGGCGTACCCAGATTTTTTTGACTCCAAAGTGAATTTTGCGAATCAACTCAACGGTTTAAAGAAAATTTTGCTATTCAATTTTTTTTTCCGAAATTTTGGAAATTTTTGGGTTCTCTAAAAATCGCAAATGGGCAATTTTTTTACTTCAGAGTCGAATTTGGACCAAAATGGCACTTTCCACTAACAACGTTTTCGTATATAGTTTCATAGAAAATGGAATTTGGAGTTAGAGAGACTTGAATTGCCATTCACATTGTTTGCGCACGTATTTGCCCATACCTCTGCAACTGTTCGTAATACTGCAAAAACCAAAAATGCCCTGGATTACCACGGGTATTCGCTAGAGTTCCAGAGTCTTGAGAAAAATCTACATTGGCAACGGTTTGGGAGATAATGAACCCTGAATGTTGGCAACCGTTCGACGGTTCCATTTGCGCATACCTCCACTCTTTTGCCCATAACTTCGTCTAATTTCAAGATAATTCAAAAGTTCCAAAACTCCCAAAGAGCCCGAAGAAGCAGCTATAAAAACTGTATCAGCCTCATATTGCATAGCGGCAGCCGTAAGGGAGTAAAACGAGTTCAAACTTAGAGTGTTAGAGAAATTAATATTAGTTGAAAAAGTTGACATTTATGAAGACTTTAATGCCGAATGGACGGTTTTACAAGCAACATATCCTCAGTCAAAAATGTTCCAGTGCATTTAAGGCCCAGTGCCCGAATTTTTCGTAGTATGCATTTTTTTGTTTACAGAGGCTCTATTTTTTATTTGGGGTTTTCCTCTTTGCGKGCACAAGTAATATTGAATTGCAGCTAACAGAGGATCATTTCYAATTTTTTTTGTCATAAWAATTCCCAAAATGGTCCAAAYGCCGGAAATTTGCATAWATTGGARGCCTTTGAACTCGAAACCAGTCAAAAAACTCGCATATGAATCAACTTTAAGACCAGACTAATTTTTAGTTYTCCTTAAAATCCGAAGTTTTTGGGTTTTTCGCGATTTTTGCCTCAAAAATTTGGAGCACATTTTCTGTGTTTTAGCTTCACTTTCATGGAGGCCTTTGAACTCGAAAGCAGTCAAAAACTCGCATTGAATCAACTTTAAGACCAGACTAATTTTTAGTTTTCCTTAAAATCCGAAAAGTTTTTGGGTTTTTCGCGATTTTTTCCACAAAAATTTGGAGCACATTTTCTGTGTTTTAGCTTCACTTTCATGGAGGCCTTTGAACTCGAAAGCAGTAAAAAAACTCGCATGTGAATCAACTTTAAGACCAAACTAATTTTTAGTTCTCCTTAAAATTCGTTTTGGGTTTTGCGCGATTTTTGCCACAAAAATTTGAAGCAAATTTTCTGTGTTTTAGCTTCACTTTCATCAATTTTTCCAATTAAAACACTCGTCTAGAAAAAAACTCAGTAAAAAATATTTGGTGTCAATTTTGCAGACTTCCCCTATGGACAACAAACTTCACTTCACAGGCAAAAAGCGCGGATGTTGCCGATGATCGGATATCCACAAAGTAGAAAACTGTAAGTTTTAGGCGTTTTCTGCTAAAACTCTGCAACAGAGCCCAAGATTGCCGCGCTTTCACCCTTGAAGAAAGAATATGGAAAAATCTCGCAAACGCCTTTTTGGCCAGAAGGCGAATTTCGCTGGAAATTCGCCAACTTGTCACGAATTGCTGTCTAGAATGTAATTAGTATCCACTGGTTACTGATTTTTGCGGGAAATTTGTGCTAAACCTCAGGGAACCAAAAAGCGAACATACCTCAACTCAAACACTGTTTTGGTGAACTTAACCAGTAAAATGTTTTTTAAAAGTTTTCCCGGTTTTTTGCCAAGATCGGTTCGCATGGAAAAATCCCCTAACCAACCACTCAAGTGACAAAACCGCAGCAAAAGCGCAAAAAATCCAACTGAACCATCGATTCTCCATTGCAAGGGAGGATCCAGGGGGGGTCATGGGGGTCATGACCCCCATTCAATTCTCTATCCAACGATGCCAAAACGAATTCTGTGGCTCGAATGGTTCTTGAGAAACTTCGAAAAAAGCAGCGTCATGTTCAGGTGGATTTTGCAACTGAAAAAAAACACGCAAATCTAAAACTTCTTGAATTCAAGCCTTTTTTGAGAAAACTGCCAACATTTTCTTATCAATGGTTCACTTTCTATAAAGGCCATTCATTTCTGTCTAGAATGATGTACAAATGAGCGTTCTTGCTCATTTTGCCTCCGAGAAATGAGCAAAAATGGGACGGAAAACATGGAATTTTGGCATA